TTTTTATTTCTCATTATCCTACTCTGATTTGATTGGTAATAAATTAAACTAACTTCCCCGAGCCGAGTCTGTTTTGCCCGTGACGGTAATTGGTGAATGATCTCTCCCTGTCCTTATCTCAACCCACAAGCCTTTCCTTATATTTTCTCTCCCCTGTCCAGCTGAGGAGGGGAGTGATAGAGCGGCTTTGGGGAGCACCTGGCGTTCAGCCAAGGTCAACCCACCACAGCCACACAGGGCGTGTGAAGGGTGCGTGGAGGTGACAATTATACAGATGAGCCAATGCGTCAAAGTCTGACGTTTCTGTTTAAGTCCAGTACTATGAAAGAGGAACAGTTTTCTGTGCAACTGGAACACTCAGCGCTGATTTTGACTGTGGCAGCAGCTTCAGGGTCGGCCAAGAGAGTCAGGCAGAGTCATGCCAGATCTGTGGATGTGGCAGGTGGGACCCTGCTCTCTCAGAGAACGGGCTGCAAGCACTCAGGAAGACTACCATTCAAAAAGCTGACTGATTTTTTTCTGACCCCCCCCCCCCCCCCCCCCCCCCCCCCCCCCCTGTGCACTCCTCACTTCTTCATTAGCAATTCCTAACAGATTTTTCAGCTTTTCCACTCCAAGGAGGAATGCTGCTGATGTTCCAGAGCACTGTCCTTGCTGACAATAAGAGCTTTTCTCCGAGTTCTAATAGCTCATTGAGAGCCTTATAAAATGTACATGTAAAAACATCTTTTTACGTGTACATGGGGAAAAACAGAAACATTGGACTATACATATTATTTTGCACTTGTTACCATTAGATTTCATATGCCATTTTAGCACCTAGTCACTTAGTAGTGTAACTGCTTCAAGTATCTGTAATCATCTTTAATTTTGACTACACTGAATATCTTGTGTTATTAGGTTATTATTCACACGCTTTACTATACTTGTCCTCCTTCACAGCACCTGGAAGCCATGTGGTCTTGGTGATGTGCTGCTACTCCTCAAAAAGAAAACTTTAGAAATACTCTGCACTAGTGCCAACCTAAACAGGTATGTGCATATAATGATGAGCAAGCCCAACCAGGGCTCAGTCCTGCACGTGTTGTTGCCACACTCACCAGCTATGGAGTTCATTGCTGTATGCGCAATGCCTTGCTGATCCTCGTGTTCTGCTCCCATACCTTGAGTTAACGTGGTTGGTAGAAGTTCCTTGACATGGTCTGTGCACTATGCTCTATCCTGCATCAACTTCATGGGAAAGTAAGTAAAGATCTGATTTTACCAAGACAACACAAATGGTGGCCTTTGTTTGTCATTCAGACTCTGGCAGCTAATGGCAGAGGGTGTTTGGCAGTATCTTTTCAATCAGGGTTAACTGTAAGTGCATCTGTTGTAGACGAGGACTGTAGGAGCCTGTGCTGGCTGAGCACTAAGATGCAGGGAGCAGAGGTAAAGAACAGGAGGAAGCACAGGACTTGGCAGAGGTGCAGCTGAACTGTTTGCTGCATCTGGGCAATGGTATGAATGAAGAGGGCTCTGGAAAAAATTGAAGTACTCTTGTTTCCAGTGCAGAGTATGAAAAGCCTTCCTGAGCGGTAATGGAGGTGTAGGCAAGAAACCAGAAAATGTCACAGGCTTATTCAGTGAAGTGAAGTGTACTTCACTTTGCTGTTCCATGAGCAAATGTGCATACATGTAGCTGTAACACACAGAAGAATTGCTATGAGCAGTAAGTTGGCACAGGAGAATCCTCACTGCAGAAGCGCTAGTCAAATTCTGCAAGACTGTAAAAATGAATGAGAAAAACGTGTTATAAAGGAAGTCATATTCACTTCTTCACATTATCCATCCTGCTTACTTAAAATGCAGATAAGTGTAATCTTCCTTTGCAAAGGAACTAGATTTTGTGTTCACAGAAGAAATGTTCAAGAAAGAAACGGTTTTCATGCACACTGCATGCTTTACGATTGCTCAATGCTGATTTATGTGCTGTTACTGTAAATTTGTGGGAAATGTCAAGTAGGATGTAACCATCACGGTCAGACTAATAGTAATATGGGAAGCATTATTGAAGAAAATGTTTTGTTTCGTGTTCCAACATGCAACCTCTACAGAATTAAACCAAAGGGCTGAAGATGGCTTAGGAGGGGGATATATGAACAATATAAAGGTGCTCTCTAGCTCTAAGAGGGGACAAATGTCTGATGACAGAGTCCCTCAGTGTAGCACACAATCAAAAACCAGTTTGGTGCCCCAAATCAGAAACAGGACAAATTCAAGTTGAAATTTCAGAGTAAAAGTAATTATGCATTCTTGAAAATATGCATTCTGGTTTTTAGGCTATAGTTTGTTAATACTGCCCTGACAGAAGAAAAAGATTTTAAGACGACAGAGGCCCTGATTAAAGAACGTGGCACTCAGCCTCTCTGCTCTTCCAGCAGAGAACAACATCCCTGCAAAACAATTCTGTTGCCAAAATGTTTCTTGATATATTATAATGTACGTAACCACAGACTTGCAGGCAGCTGGAATTGTGCAATCTTTTGAGGCAGACTTACAGAGCTCTCAGGGATAAATAACTGTCCTTCATAGATAAAAATAAAGCAACTTGGAGGCTGTTTATTCAAAATACTTGTCACATACCTGCTTTGAATAGTGTTTTAAAAAAGCACAGCCATTTCTGTGTAAACATTAACTGTAGACCTGTCTCAATCTATCACAGAAAGCATGTTTTTACAAGATGTTACTTTAAAAGGAAAAAATAGGAGGAGCACTGACTTACGATAGAAAGATTTGGGTTGTTCTTATTATTCTTTTGGGTCACTGTGGGTTACAGTATGGAACGTGCAACATGATGCAACTGTCCTGCTTGTTTTCCAGTTGGATTAGTGAGGCTGATTGGAGGGATATCTGTGTTTGAATTCAATTATTTCACTTTCCAGTGTGGATTAGTAGCCCATTCTGATGAAGTCCTGTTACCTGGTGCCTCAACTCAGTCCAGTGACTTAAGACTCTTGACCTGCTGGATCAGCTCCTTCCAGATGCCCTTTGACACATGAGTACAAATTTTTGCCTTGCTATTGGCCTTGTCGTTCATGGAAAACAAAAATCCCAGGTTAGTGCTCTTGCATTCATTAACTTTTTGCTCTGCCCAGAAGACTTTATTTTCTGGATGTTTACTTGTTTCGGTAGATATTGTGCTGTATACCATACTGGCTTTCCAAAAGTACTTCATAGACAGGGCAACATACTGTTTCAGAAGACAAAGCTGAATATATTGGGTAAGTAATTTCTTTCTTTGCTTATTTTTTATCTTAGAGATTTTTTTAAAGCTTATTTAATTAAAATAAGATCTTAACACCAGATCAGCCTGTTTTGTGTATCATGCATCATGTCATAAATCATTAGAAAAGCCACAGATGTATAATTCTCCGGTTAAGAAAAATAACTGAGTTGATAAATATTTAACAATGAGTAGATTAAATTTAAAAGAAAATATGTAAGCAAAATTAAACAGAAAAACATGAGGTTGTTTGAAATGAAGTAATACCTATGATTTTCAATTAACTACCATTCTTTGCTAGTCTCCCCACCCTGAAAATCTTTCTGTTTTGGCAAGTTATGCCACAAGAATAAACATCTTCTTTGTGTACAGTGTTAGTAAAAAGTGTCATTGCGGTTTTCTAAATTAACAAGAAGGAATTAGACTGCATTTGTTTCACATTAACATCTGGGAAAGTGTTGTTCTTGGTTTCAGTGACACACGGATGAAGGATTTTTTTTTTTTTCCCCCCCAACTTTAGATTTTTCTTTCCTTCCTCACCCCTGGAGCAAACAGGATTTGGGAAAGTGTTGTTCTTGGTTTCAGTGACACACGGATGAAGGATTTTTTTTTTTTTCCCCCCCAACCTTCCTTTTGTCTTATTTCTATCCCAACTTTCTAGAGAGCAGCTGATATTTAAGCTGCCTGCTTCGGCCTGCCAATTTCCTCAGTTGAGGTTGTTTGAAGAAACCACATTCCAGGAGAGTCTGGGATCTTCTTCCTTGAAAGTTCTCATTGATTTTAGTATTCACGCTACTGTAATAAAAATAGCAGCTAAAGGCAAGGCTAAACCAAGAGTGAGAGAAGAGGCTATTCATATTAGTGTTAACTTACCCGTCCTGGTGAAACAGATGTGTGCTTATTTAGAGCAGCAGCTAGAGAGTCACTATTCAGTTGCAGTAGCCTTTCTGCTAAAGGAAGCAAGCATATCACCTACCCTCTGGTAAGCTGCTACCTTCTCTTTTTAATTTCTTTCTTAGATTTGGACTACAGTAGCTCGTCTCTCAAATATCCTCTCTGATTTGCTTTGGGGTGGGAATGGAGTACTGGGGGTGGAGTAAGTCCCTCCTATGGGAGAACCAGCCTCTGACCACAGTAATGTGATTGGAGCATGTGAAGCATTAATTCACTGAGTATTTTTATAAACATAAAATTTAAAAACCAAAAGGAAATCTGCTTGTTTCCTACTGAATGGGATATGTTTTCTTCAGAGGAGATCAAAGTGGATTTGTTGTTGTTGTTGTTTGGTTTTTTATTATTGTTGCTAAGAGAGTTTTATTTTATGCTTTTCCTTCATAATGCATAATCTTGTTTTGTTTGCTTGATCTCCTCTCACACTGGAAAATGTTCAACAGTATAATCTGCCAGGAATACTCCCTTTAAGACCCGTTGATGCTCATGCTCAGCAACAGTGTTTTGAAGTTTGATCTACACGTTTTTGGTCATGTTGAAAACTGCTGGCTCATCTGATTTCATGTTCCAATAGCTATTAATATAAATGTATATGTTTGGGTGTTTTTTTTTTATTTTTGGTCAATCTGCTACATGCAGGAAAAAATTACCCAGCGTGTACTTGGAGAAAATAAGAGATTGTTCATGACTTTTAAAATGGCTTTCTACACATATATTGGTTTTTAATAAAGCATAATTAAAATATCTTAAATTTTGTTTTTAAATGTTATCCTTAATGTCATTCATTTTCTAACTGAAACTAGAAAATATTGGGGTTTTATCAGTTTCATTGCCTGGTTTGACTTTGCTATGTTCATTGATGGCATAGCAGACTTTCATTATTGAGAAATTATGTGGCAGTAGGTAACAATCACCTAAAGAAAAGGCCATGAAATTATCTGAAATAATATTAAGGGGTAAATTTGATGTCCAGCATGTTCCAACATCTTTGATAAGAGAGAACTTTCTAAATGCCCTCAGTTTCCAAGGGAATCTGCTGAAGGGAATAATATTTGGTCTCTGAGAGAGAGCCCCTGATTTATTTACTAGTATTTCTTGAATTAAAAGCTGAGAATTTCAAAATGTCGTAACAAATAGAAGCAGCTTGGTCCCTCTGGACATCTATGGAGCAGTTCATAAGATGTCACACTTCCATAACCCCTGACCAAGCCTTGCGTAATCATTTGGCAAAGGTTAATTACCTCCTCAAGATGGAGGCAATCACTTGAGGCTGTAGATCCCTGAAGGATGGGAAGTGTCTGAGAAAATCCTGCCCTGCCAAACCAGTCCTGCACTAATTTATGGAAGAACTGTCTTTGATTTCAAATTTGGTTTTCAACTACTATCAACGTGTCCCTTCTTCCTTCACTTTTCTGTATGACTTCTGGCAGTGGCTTGACTAAAAAATGCGCTATTGAGAATTACCTGTATATGGTGTTACTGTTTTCCTTAACTTCTCAGGTGTCAGTCTACAAGTTCCTTTCTCTTGCTCTTTGTGCTTACAGCTGGGAGGTAAACATGAGATTGCAACGGGTTTAGGGCCATTATGCCTCTCTCTGCTCTCAAGGCATTCTGCTTTTTCTCTGAGAGGAAAATTTTCCCCTATTTGTTTAGGGAGCCCCTAAGGAAGAGCAGGACCTGCATGAAAACAGGGTTCTGAAGTTCTGTAGTAGAGATCACTTGCTAACACAAGGCACAGGCAAGTGTTTGCAGCTGTTTTATTTAGCCTGCTGCAGCCTCTGAGGCATATCAGCATGTTGATGCCTTTCTGAATCTCCAGAGAGCAATAGCTCTTTCCGCTTGTCACAGTTCATGGAGACCAAGAGAGCAGGGACCTTCCTTCATGTCAGGAAGCTTTTATGTCTTGCTCTTCAGACTTCATACACAAGAGCTACTAAAATACCTGTACTTATATTTTTGATGCCATGAAGTTTTATTATTGCAGTAGGGTTAGCCATGCTAAAGCAGAATGCAAAGAACCTCCCTTTTTTTAGTTACTGCATAAATTAAATCTTTCCGTTCTCAGGAAGCCACTCTGAATTCCTCTCTGCTAGAGGATTCACTGTAAGGATTTGTTACCTATTATAATACAGGATTTTCCAACTGAAAATGGCCACCCCCGTGTAAGAATTCAACTTGTTACAGCTCTGATGGTTGTCCCCTGCATGTAAGCCCTCCCAGACCTTAGTACTGGCTCTCACTTGGGTTATGTGCACCCTCAAAATGTGACCTACAGAGATGCCCAAGTGACAGAGAAGAGAGTCATGCTTGAACAGCTAGGCTTCTTAGCTTAAGCTTTTTGGCACACCCGTTTGAGGCAGAAGCAGCAGTGATGGTCCCAGAAAGGGGAGATGGTAGGATGAAGATGAAGTGACAGTAATGACAGTAGGGCAGGACTATGGGCCAGGTTCAGTAGGAACAAAATAGCAGAAGCTATAGATGAGGGAAAGGGTTAGACCACGGCAACAGACATCGGGCATATCCTCAAATTGTTTTCATCACTGCCTGGATTGTAAGAGCAGTAAATTCTTTACACATTTGACAAAAAATTCTTCTCCTTTTGCTATTATACAGGAAAATACGTACAGTAGATTATTTCCTATATTCTGCTAATTTTCTTAATAACATGAAGACTTTGCTAAGAACTACCATGAGTCCTGCCTCAGTCAAACCTTGTTTATTTAAAGAAGACATAGTCCTGAATAAAGAAATCAATAACAACTTCAACATTGTGACCCCACTGAATTAAATCAGTGCACTGTCAAAGCTAGTGGGAATACTGCTTTTGGCTTGGTTGAGGGCAGGGGGGGACAGGACAGGCAGAAGCTGTTTAAAAGATTTTATTCTCAAATTGCTACTTTCTTGCAGATTTTCAGCTGATATAAATTCGGGTAACTTAACTACAGTGAAGTTACACATCTTGGTTATGGAAACTGAATCTCTTATCCTTTGATTCTCAGGCTGTACCTGTTCATGGACTTAGTTCAGGGCCTGGTTAAAAGTTTTGCTAACGTGTCATCTCTCAAAGTACCGAAGTTTGAACTGTTTTTCTTTCAAAATGGCTTCATCCAGAATCACTTATTTATGAAAGAAATATTTCCCTACACAGCTCTGTTTACACATTTTTAGAGATCTGAAATAATCTTTTGTTAGCACAAAAGAGAAGAAAAAAATGTGCAAAACATTGTGTTACTTAAGAAAATAATTTAATCTTTACCCTTGTGCTCTCGTAAAAGCTACAGATCGTAAAAGTTCTACTAGACTCAGGTAGCATTGCCAGTTTAAATGCTCAAATTCCCTTTAGCTACCGGGTCACCCGCACTAGACATCAAAGTTCAGGTTTGATATCACATATGCAAGTTACCTGTACTAGTGACTACCTACCAATTGCATTATGTATCCTACTTTACAGGAAAATAACTTTATCTCATTTATCAGTGAGATTTCATTTCAGGAAAACTGATAGCCATTGTTTTTGATCACTACTTGCATAGCTCCACATTCACATCACCTCGGGAACAGCTGCTTCTCACTCCATTTGAGCTGTACCCATTTAAACATTTGTGCATTTTGGCTCAGAGCCAGAGCTCTGAATGACCCATATTTAAAAAAATAAATAAATAAATTCCCAAATCAGGCACAAAAAGCACAAGGTGATTTTAAACCAGCTCTGCTGCCAAAGTAGTATTAATACAGAGTTCTGCCCAAATTTCTAGCATGCTGCTGTCCTGAGGGGCTCTCCAGACAGCTGCGATCACAGGAGGGGGTTTCTGCCAACATTTCACATAGCCATGGAGAGCAGAAATGGAGCCAGGCGGTTCGGGAAGTATTAGCTCATATTCTGGGGGGGGGACACACGGCTTTTTTTCTCCTCCTTTCTTTCACACAGTCAGAAAAATTTTGTTAGTGGTAGGAAACTGGGAATGCTTATCAGGAATTTTAAGGAAGATACATGACTGGTGTATTGGATGCCTGAAATTCCTCTCCCCAGACCAAGGTGACGTTTTTTATTCTTAGAGGGACAAAGTGAGAAGTAAGAGGAGTCACCCGTGTGTGAAGAGGAGGTCAGCAAAAGATGGGAGACTCAGCAGTCACGCTTGAACACCTATGGCAAGAATTAATATTTAACTTTACTCCAGTGTTCCCACAGTGCTCCTGTGGTTAGGGAAGGTGCCATTGGGATGAGAAAAGCATTTAATCTTTAAAGAGAGTTTGACATCTTTTAATCTTTAATCCTCGTCAGGCCTCATTAGTTATTTGATCAACTAGGAAACTAAGTTGCACCAAAAAAAGCTGGAAAAGAACACATATAATTATAAATTATTCAGGGCTGCTAAAACAGACATACTTTACAAAGGAAAGCAAACCTTTTGGGAAGTTTGGGGAGGGCAGGTTGTTTTAAACTGGCCATTGACCCACGTTTTAACAATATAAATTTGTGATCAAATGTTTTCGCCCAGTGTCATGTGGAGGAGCTTTGTTTTACTCAGAGAACTTGGCTTTATCTTATAGGATTTTGAGGAATTTTTCTTTGGAAGTGTTTTAGAGTGTGTGTGGAGGGGGGAAGGGAAGGAGAAATAAATTTCTTTTGAGACAGGCACCAAAAAAAGTCATTGTTCTAAGTAAACATCGTTACGAGTCAGCAGGACCAAAGAGTTGAGACAGTCACTGCAGTCCTGGCTGTTACATTTCCCTTCCCCATCCCTGAGGACCTCAGCCCCAGAGGGGTGCGATGTGTCCACGAGGCTGATTTATCGATGCAGCTACAGTTACATCATTTTTCCCAGCTCCCAGTGTACTTGCACCGGAATGGGAAGCTTTTACAGTCGTGTTTTGCTGGACTCCCTTATACAAAAGTGTTCCAGGGACAAGGTGTTCAAAACTCAAATCCCTATGCATGGTAGTGGCTTCTACCTGGAAGTCAAGTGAGGTTAATAACTAAACAAGCTGCATTATTCACTGCAGCAGCAATCTCATCTCTAGGAACAGCTAAAGCCCTTTTCTTTATCCTCATATTAACATTAACCTCCTGAGGCTGGAGGTTTTGAGTATCTTTTTCTCTCTTTTGTGTTCCTCAGCAGATAATTTTCAGATGGATGTGATGTAATGAAACAAATAATGAAATAAAGTTCTTCCTGGGATGAGAGCAAAATTTAGGGAGAGGTATACCTGTAGGGGACACTCCAGCTGTATTAGAACATGTTTCCAGGGGTACAGTGTCTCCTTCTTCCCTAAGATAACTTCAATAACATAATGTAGAATTACAATCCAAGATAAATAATAAAAGTGAACTGAGAGTTCATGAAAGCTTCAGGACCTATAACCAAGGACAGTGATCTCGCATTTATCCATTAAAAAGGTACGGAACAGTGAAAGTTAAGAAAATTCACTAGTATGTGGTTCCTAGACTGCAAGATAAAAGCAGGCAAAATAATTGTTCTTTGTACTGTTTATGCCTTGTATTCTAATGGTCTTATCCGTGTCTCCGATGCCATGTGCGTTACAAAAGATATTCTCTCCTCTTCTTTTCAGGTAATAATAGTTGAGGATGCCAGCGCCCTGGCGAATATGCTGTGATAAAAAATCCAGAACTAAGAATGGAAAAGCTGAAATGGACAATATGGCAGAGACGAGTGAAAAAATGCAGATGAAAAAAGAAATCACGTTACTAAATGGAATTTCTTTAATTGTAGGGAACATGATCGGCTCTGGGATATTTGTATCACCCAGAGGTGTTTTAATGTACAGTGCTTCCTATGGACTCTCTCTAGTCATCTGGGCGCTCGGTGGGATGTTTTCGCTGTTTGGAGCTTTGTGTTATGCTGAATTGGGAACATCCATCGTTAAATCTGGAGCCAGTTATGCCTATATCCTGGAAGCATTTGGTGCTTTTGTGGCCTTCATCAGACTCTGGTCTTCCTTGCTAATTATCGAACCAACCACCCAGGCAGTGATAGCAATCACATTTGCTAACTATATTGTTCAACCAATTTTTCCTCATTGTGAGCCGCCATATGACGCAGTCAGGTTGATTGCAGCTGCTTGTATATGTAAGTAAAGTTACGATTCCTAGAAGTTACGAACTATAATTGTAGATGCCCAGAGAGATTTTTCTGAATTCTGAATTTCTATTCCTTCGCCTTCTGTGAAAACAATTATTGCCTCTCTAAAACATGTTCTTAGGAACTAGTAATCTTTTATTCAGATGGGTTTTATTTGTGGCTGGGATTATTAGACGGGAGAGGAGAATTACAACAATTTGGCTGGGGGAAACTATGACTGCTGATTAAAGATACATATATCTCTATGAATCATTGGCCTAATTGGCAGTCCACATTTGGTTCATGCTCTTTCACAAAAAATGAACAAAAAATCTTAAAATTCATATGGAATTAAAATACTCTGCCTAATATGAGTGTTGTCTCTAGAGAAATTGTGTGGTGTAATCAGACACTCTGCAGTTGACTTCGTTATGACTGTATGTCTTAGGTGAACACAGGGATAAGCATTACAAATCTATCCTCCAGTAGATGGACTGTATTCAAATTCTTTTCCTTATAAACATGGATTTGTCAAGCTAGAGTATGTATTCCTTTGAGGCTGTGCTATAGCATAATCTTTTAAAAATGGCTTAAACTGTACAACTCAACAAAAACTTTCAAAAGGATAAGTAATTTTAATTTAAGATAATATAATGTATACTGACAATTCTGAAAAGGTGTTTTCTCTGTAGCCCTGACTCTTGCCACTGTGGTGCAGAGGAAGTTCACTTCTGAAGAAGGCTCCATGGTATAACTTGAGACCATAATGACCACTCAGCAGTCTAAAAGGCAACTAACCCTATTCCAAAAGACTTTATCAGCTGAAATTCTTCACTTGCACAAGAAAGCAGTTATTTATTAGATAAAATTTCTTTCCCCAGTGTTCTAGGTGCACCTCATGAAACCCTAACACTTAAGAGTAGTCTTCAAATGCTGATGTTTTTCTGAGGCTTCACTTCCTTAGTTATTCTTGCTGTAGTCTTCATGTGAATCAACTGTGTGCTCTAGTACCTCTGATTTCTGAGCTGATGCCCCGGTGTGGCTGGAAGCTGCTGCTTTCTCATTCAGCAAATGAGTTGCCTCACCACTGACTAGACTTATAACAAGCATTTTGAGTAACAACCCAGATTGCTGGGAAAATTACAGTTTATTCTATTAACTGTGGTATGCAATTTAGCAGTGTCAGATAGCAAATGTATTACTAGCTTGAACAATTTTGATAAGGCTTAGTAGCATGGATTTAATTGGCACTTCACCAACATAGTGGAGAGAACTTATTTAAATCTATATATTTAGTAGAATTTACTGGGAATTCCATGGCAAGATTCCATTGCCTTGAATTTATTTACACTCTGCAGCACATGATACATGTCATGTGTCATATACCCATGCAGTAAACATATCCTTTGCCGTATTTCAAATAGCACTTTATAGCATCGCAAATTACTCCTAAATGTTCAGTATTAAAAACTTCAGTCAACACTTACTTTATCATTTTTAAGAAATAACCCTATAATTCTAACAGTTACTGATATATACTACTGTACTTTTAAGAAAAAGGTATACGGTTAAGTACTACTGCAGAGATCTTTTAAATTATAGAGCATAAAATCTTATTTCAATGTATATGCCACATATAGAATCATAGAATCATAGAACAGTTTGGGTTGGAAGGGAC